AAAGTGCAGTCGGAATGGATCGACTTTCTTTTCAGAAAATGCGGGATCGTAAATGTCGTCATCGTTCATCGTTCACAGCGAACGCGTTAATTTCCATGCTCGACTGCCGCAGTTGCGGTTATTAGCCGCACCGAAACGTCGAACGGCGTGTAGACCAAATAAAACAATCTTTCCACAATGAAAAATAACGCGCGTCGCGTCGTCGTTATCGTCGTCGTCGTCGTCGTCGTGGACGACAGTTTATCTCGTTTATTTGACGTGCTTTCACTAAAGCTATTTTGTTTGCGGTTCGACGGTAAAGTAATATATGCCGCAGTTTTCACTTTCCTGTTGCTGCGGTTTTCGATTTGATGTATCAATATTAACTGTCGTTGCGCGTCGATGGATTTCTCGAGCCGCGTGCTCTCCACCAGCTTCGGTGTCGTGTTCACCGGTGGCTGCAGCTTGCAGCGTTGCATAATTTTCAATGTTATCCGCGATCGTTGTTTCTCTTTGGCAAACTCTATCGTTACAATTTTTACTCTAGCCTCGTCGCGATTCGCGATGCCCCGAGGAATCCCGAAGCGATCGCCGCCGGAAAAATAACCGATTCGCGAGGAAAAAAGAAACCGTATCAACAGCTATTAACAAACTTAATCGATAGCGCTTTGGCAAACTCTATCGTTACAATTTTTACTTTACTACTTTCATCGCGATTCGCGATGCCCTGAAGAATCCTAAAACGATCTCTGCCGTTGCAATAACCGATTCGCGAAATAAAAAACCCGTATCAACAGCTATTAATAAACTTAATCGATAGCGCTTTGGCAAACTCTATCGTTACAATTTTTACTTTACTACTTTCATCGCGATTCGCGATGCCCCGAAGAATCTTAAAACGATCTCTGCCGGTATAACAACCGATTCGCGAGACAAAAAGCCCGTATCAACAGCTATTAATAAACTTAATCGATAGCGCTTTGGCAAAGAGCTTTGTCTCCCGGGACGACGTAATCGCCGTGACACTCTTCTTTTCCCCGTTGAAGTATTTCAGCGGCGCGCAACGCGACGTCGACGAACTTCGTTGTAACATCGAAGTTCGTTGCCTCGAGACTCTTTCGTTCCAAGATAAATTACCTGCAGGCGCTCCCTTCAACAGGTGGAACCGCGACGGTTTACGGTTTAATTCCGCAAAGTGTGGAGAGAATGCGAGGGGGTATCCTTGGTCTCTTATTGGAAAGATTGCGGGTCGGGTGATCACGTGGAACGGGTGATCTTCGGCTTTCGTGTAAAGGCCATCCGGAATGCCGCTTTTATCCCGCGAGAACAGGTTTTGCATATTCCGTTCGAGATTCCTCGTTTTGGATTATTTTCCACGGCGAGCTCTGCCGCGCGGCTCATCCCCTCGAACGTTTCCAGAGGATCGGAATCGAGGAAAGTGAAACACACCGCCGGATCGCCATTATTTCAATGTATATGCTAATCGAAGTGTCCGCCGTCGCGTTCTCGGCAGGATTTACTTGTTCGCCCGCTGGTTTAATGGTTTCAGGAATACTGTTATCGGGGTATTCGTGCAACCGCCACGGTCGAAATCGTGGCGCCGCCACGAACTTTATTTATTTATTCTTTGGCGCGGTGCTTAACGTCGCTTTAGCTTTGTAAATTGAAATTAGGTGACGCGGAGGTATCGCGTTAATATCGGCGCAGCATTCCGTCGTTTGAATATTCTATAATATGCTGATCAAAGTGGCGGCCTGCCATATCTTGTTCGCAACGGAATCTGCTCGCACGTTCGCCGCTCCAAGGTTTCCAGGAAAACTATTACGCTATCCGAGCAACAGGTTGAAATTTTTGCTCGATGATCATTTGCTCTTCGCGTGCGGCTCGGCAATCCGTCGATCGATTACGCGGCGGAACCTCGGTCATCCGAATCAATCTGAATTAACTCGTCGTTAATTTGCGCTGAAATCAGTGTGTTGGATTTGATTGATATTGCCGTGCTTTAAATTTAGAAACTAATTGGGAGGCTTGTGGATACGCGTTAAAAGCTCGAGACTTCGATCAAACGCTTTTACATTCGATTAAACCTCGTCGAATATTAAGGAGCAATCGATGCCATGATCGAATCAACTGCCTTAATGGCTCTTTATCGGCACCGAAACGATCCACCGTAGCTAATCTAATCGTATACAAGTAATTTAGTATGTATACGTAACTTTTGGCTCGAAATTACGTTCCTAATTGTTCTTCTTATTCCACGGGCGTTTCCTTTTTCTTTGGGATTCAGAGACACGTTGTTCAAATGATTCGTAGAATTTTTTTCAAGCGAAATCGACCTGCGTACATTTTTTTTTATTATCAATCATTACGAAGAAGATAATTTAGTATAACTGTCGGAGTGAATTTACGCGAACGACTTCGACTTCGTCAATCATCGATCCCCACCATCAATTTCATCGTGTATAAAATTAACCGTATACAAGCGAAACGTACGTTCGAACGACCGCTCTAACCAACTAATGGAACACATAATACTACAATAAACACTGTTATGACGGTTAATTCTGTCAAGTAAATCAAGTTAGCGGACACACCGTCGAGTGATCGCACAATCGATGCGGATTGAAATGAAATGGAACGTCTATCTCGTTATCTTGATCATCGATTCATGCCTAACCGGCCTACGAACGGATCCGATCGATCAGACGAATAATAGCCAGAAGGCACAACAGCTATTTCTGTTTTACTCCGCTTTCGACGGTCGTGATCTATAAACCAGTCATCGGACTACGTCCAGTGAAATCCTAGAATATTGTAACTACAGTAATGTCTCCCTTATTGACGCTTCGATTGCGCGCAAAGGGAAGAGGATATCGATTAAATTGAGTCTTGCGCCTCGTTTAACACTTACGAATTGTCAACAACTATAAAAACGATTCATTTCCGGACGGATCACAAAAATCCCAAAAAATCAATTCCACTAGTCTCAGTAACTGGTCCCAAAATTTTGCTATGGACCTAGGTGGACCAGTTACTGAGACTAGTGGAATTGGTTTTCTGGATTTTTCGGATCTGTTCAGAAAATTAATTGCACTAGTCTCAGTAACTGGTGCCCCTAAGTCGACAGCAAAATTTTGGACCAGTTACTGAGACTAGTAGATTTCATTTTCGAGATTTGTGGGATCTGTCCGGAAATCCATCCCACTAGTCTCAGTAACTGGTCCACCTGGCTCCATAGCAAAATTTTGGACCAATTATTGAGACTAGTAGGATCGATTTCCGGATAGATTGGGGTGCGAGTGTAGATCAATTTTTTGTAAATGTTATGATTACTTTTGCCAAAAATATCCCAGTTCCGGGCTCGAACAATCGTATCTCCTCTTCCCAAATTGTCCATTTTTGTGGGCAATGTGAGCGTCAATTAGAGAGACATTACTGTACAAAGCAAACGAGAAAGAACAACGTTGGTTCTCGTTCTTACGGAATCTTTCGCGCGCGGAGTCTTTTTAAGATCGAGTCTCATCTCGGCGCGGCGATCAGCTCGAAAGCGGACAATTCGATCCCACCGAGCGAATAAATTTGAGGGAAACTCTCGACGAAGACAACCCTGCTGATTAATGAAATGCAAAATTCGTGTCGGCCAATGTAATCGCGAAAGGGTGGAGGCGAATAGCAAGCGGCGCGTACACAGCGGACAACGCGAAGCGCGAATTCGATTCGGTTTTCGCAGGCGATAATTAGGCGGCATTATAATTACCGGAGCAGCTCTCTCTGTCGGGTTTGCCCGTTAAGTTTCGTGCTGTCGGAGGACGGGCCGAGGCAGGAGGCGCATTGGGAAAACTCGAACAATCGCGGACGCGGAGCTATGCGAGAGCAGCGTGTCGCCCGATTTCAGTCTGTTTCATTACCGCGCGAGAGCCCTGTGGTATTGTATCGGCGCCCGGCGGTCGAACAAATTGCTTCCTTCCGTACGGTTTTCGAATTGCGGATACCATAAATACCGGGTCCACCTACGGGGAATTCGTCGAACGGAATTCATCGGCCGACAAGCCGGCGAGGAGTCGTAAGTTATCGGAATCGCGGGAGGAAAATTGAACCGATACGAAATAAAACGGGGCTTGCAGCAGCTTGCGATCGCGCGATCGGTCTCTTTCCTTCGCCGTTCCGTTGCGCGAAAATAATGCGGACCGCCGCCGATGCTTTTCCGCCTTTCTTCGTTCTCCTCCGACCGTATGGGAAATAAAGCGCGCGGCAATGGACGCGGCAACCGCCGACATTGCCCCGCCATTTTGGGACTTTGGGAACTGTTCGGCGATAAATTATTGTCGCCGAGCGATTTCTCGTTTTGCCTACGGTAAACACCGGAGAGCCGACGTTTTACCGGTGGGAAACGAATCGGCCATTATCCTCGTATTTTAAGATGCCAGCTAGACGGATCGTGGTTATGCTGGATGCCTTGGGTTCGCTCGTCGACAGCGCGCGTCCCTGAACGCGCGTCTTTTTACATGTTATTTTCCTGGATATGCAAATGCTAGATTGATTTTGTACGGGAAATAAGAAGCTAAGGATTCTCAGCGTTTGCTGATCGAACCGATGAATTCGTAAATTTAATCAATTACAATGTCTCCTTAATTGACGCTCAGATTGTGCAGAAAAATGGAAAATTTGGGAAGAGGAGATACGATTATGCGCGCTTCGAAAAACAGGTGTCACAGCTAACTGGTTAAAACGTGCACTTTTGATGCAACCTTCTCGAAATCTACGGGATTATACGAGAAAAAAGGTCGAAGAATTATCTACCCCTAAATCCGCGTTACTCCCACCAACGCCTATTTAAAAAGTGCACGTAATTTAACAGTATCGGTAGAAAATGATATCGGAGAACAAATAACCGACGAGAAACAAGCGGTTTTTAAAATAATTTCGGGCCAGCTAGCGGCCAATGTGCGCAGACTCCAACCCCCACCAGGCATACTCCAACCCCCACCACGCGGACTTCGAATTCCACTTCGGTTCGCCACTTGTCACGTGCAGGAGCAGTCGGACTCAACGAGTAGGACCCAGTCTGTAAGCAGGTACAAGTGTCGCGTGCCGGTAATAAACCGCACCAAAGCATAACGGTCGCTCCATTCCATCTACCTGGCTTCTTCATACATAAAGCTTACATTCAATCGATCGAATCTCGGCTGAGGAGGAGAGAGAGAAACAGATCATATCTGTCCGATCGTTCGAAGGAACTGCTCCTCGTGGAACCATCGAACCACCGATTAATCGAGAAAAATCAAGGTAAGGGGACACGTTGCCTTGATATTTTCTATCAAGCATTTTGAACTATGTTACATACGCATTACAATATATTACTATTATAATATATACTTATATTACTATATTACTATAATATTATAATACCATATTACTATTACTAAACTATAGCAGCGTGCAGGGAAGGAATAAAGTCCCACGATCGAACAATTCTCGAGGATCTCGTTCGCGAGAAAAATCGAGTTCGAAAATTCGTTAGAAGCCAGCACGCGGCTCGGTCGTTTTCGTTTAAACTTTCACATTCGTTGCCCTCTGTAATGTTTACATACGGTTTTTAGCCGCGCGGCTACCGGCTGCTCCGATCGTCGGTCTGTTTACAATTCGACCGATAGAAAAAGCTTGCGCACGATCGCGCGTTATTGCTGGTCGCTATAATCATATTGTACATGTATATATGTGTTTTAGGAACCGAACGTTTATCCGGCCGTAATAAACATGTCGTCGGATATCAGAAAGATTACGATCAAGCTGGGACCGTTGGTCGTACGCAACGACGGCGACGAATATCTGCCCATGCAAATAACGGTCGACGGTGGGAGTTCCGTCGTGTGGATCGAGCAAGATCTCAAGAAGTGCAAGGATAATACGTTCTTCTACGGTTATTTATCGATCCATGTTTTTCGAGCCACTCGATATTCGAATCGCGTGTAACACGCCGAATCGTTCTTCCATAGAATTTGCATACCGCGCCGGACAAGGGAAGGAGGAGGAGGGGGGCGACACCTCCGGACAGATCACTAACAAACGTACGTCATCGCTCGCTCGGGTGGTGAAGAAAGAGTACGATAACTTGAATCTCGGGAAAAAGGCGATCGCCGACGAGGCCCCGACCACCCCTAAATCGTCGAATGAGTCGCCGACCGCCGTTACCGCGGCCATGAAAAAAGTGAAAATCACCGAGCCGGTTGATAGGAGTCTGATGCCGAAAATACAAAAATTTCTTAGACACAACGATGCTATAAGCGCTCTTGCCGTTGACGACGAATGGTTATTATTTTTATAGCTCATCGACGTAGATCGACGATCAACGATCTACGCGATTATCATACAAATGTTATGTAACTTTCGGTAGGATGATTACCGGTTGTCGCGGCGGTACGTTGCACGTTTGGACCATAAATGGAAAACATCGTCTCTTGATTCCTGCCCACAAGTCGTCCGTCGAAGCCGTGGCATGGATACACAAGAACAAGGACGTTGCCAGATTCGTTAGGTAAATTAATCGTCGACGGTGAAACGAATATGAATGAATTTCGTCGAATAATTTGTATCTACGGTGGAAATGTGCAGCGTATCGAAGGACGAAACTACTATGATATGGGACTGGAATATCGATGACCATTCTGTGAGCAGCATACAGTGTACGCACCAACGCTTGGGCACCTATGGTTGGTTCGACACGGTTTCCGTTAATCAGGACAAGACCACTATGGTTTGCGGAGGATGGGACTCCATGCTGAAATTTTGGTCGACGGGTGTGTATAAAAGAAAAAAAGATTCGAAGAGATTAAACAGATAATACAGTAATGTCTCCCTTGCTGACGCTCAGATTGTGGGCAAAAATGGACAATTTGGGAAGAGAAGATACGATTATTCGAGCCTTGTAGCTCGTTTTTTTATAGCTGTCGACAATTCGTAACTATAACAAATGAACCGCAAGGATCGAATAATTGTATCAATTGTGGACAATTTGAACGTCAATTAGGGAGACATTACTGTATATACAGCGTGTGCTGTTTATACGATGCCGCTTCTTTAGCGAGATATTAACGAAAAATTGGTGACCAATGAGAGGCGAGATCGGCTGGCGCGAGGCACTGGGATATTTTTAGCAAGAGTAATCATAACATTTACAAAAAATCGCATCCCAATCTATCCGGAAATCCATCCTACTAGTCTCAGTAACTGGTCCAAAACTTTATTATCAACCTAGGGGGACCAGTTACTGAGTGAAAAGAATTCATTTTAGTGTTTTGTAGAGATAAGGTTATGATATGCCCTCTGACTCCCAAAAATTCGGAAAATGAATTCCACTAGTCTCAGTAACTGGTCCAAAATTTTGCTATCGTCTTAAGTGGACCAGTTACTGAGACTAGTGGAATTGGTTTTCTGGATTTTTCGGATCTGTTCAGAAAATGAATTCCACTAGTCTCAGTAATTGGTCCTCCTAAGTCCATAGCAAAATTTTGGACCAGTTACTGAGACTAGTGGAATTGGTTTTCTGGATTTTTCGGATCTGTTCAGAAAATGAATTCCACTAGTCTCAGTAATTGGTCCTCCTAAGTCCATAGCAAAATTTTGGACCAGTTACTGAGACTGGTGGAATTGATTTTCGGAATTTTTGTGATGTGTCCGGAAATTAATCCCGCTAGTCCACCTAGGTCCATAGCAAAATTTCGCGAGGCGACCGAGCCAATGAGCGAAAGCGGGCTTCCTTCGCTCGTTCAAGCGTCCACCTTGCGCCAACCGAGCTGGCCTCTCATTGGTCAGTGTTATATATATATATATATATATATACATATTATATTATAATACATATTTTCAGAACCCGGAGAGAAAACCAAGCCCACTATCGAGGCATTGCCGGCACGCAACCATAGAGTAAGTTTAATATATACGCGCAACTACGATCCATGAATGTTGTACCTCCCGTTATCGTAATTTCGTAGGGAGTGATGCAATTGATGAAAGGCCATACAGGCGTTATCACCGGTGTAGTCTGGTCGGATAAAAACGAAATTATATCGTGCTCGTTGGACGAGACGGTGAAAGTCTGGGATTACGAACAGAGCAAAATCAAACAGGAATTCAGCGACAAGGAAAGTTTTTACAAGCTCGATTATTCGCCATTGAATCGTTGCATAATAGCGTCCACCTACGACCAAGTTCGTTTGTACGATCTGAGAGCAGCAGGTACGCTCGGAATTTCGGTATCGTCGATCGCCAATTAATTACGAAGCTTCTGCAAATTCGATGGGTTTTGCTATTTTAGATGGCAAGCTCGAGAAAACGTTGTTCGCTCAGCGCAAGGAACCGATGAGATGTCTGAAATGGTCGACCGTGGACGAGCATAAGTTCATCTTGGCGGGCGGTAAAATGCAAGTTTGGGACACCAGAAAGTATGTCGTATATCGTGTAAATGATTGCCGAGTCGCGTGACAACGTGTCGAAGGTTTTTAATCGTTTGGTAACGTTACGTTTCCAGCCCGAAATCACCGTTGTACGACCTACGCGGGCACGACGAGGAAGTGTTATGCTGCGACTGGTCGAATCCAAAGTTCATGGTGTTCGGTGGCGAGGACAGCATCGTAAGAATATTCGAATCACCGCGCGTAACTAAGGACGATGAATAAACGATGAATAAACGCGGCATTTATCGATGAATACATGTATTTAATGATTGGTCGACCGGCTTTTACTGATTCTCCGACCCCTCCCCCGCTCGCGTCCGCTTTCGCCGCATAGCCGCGCACACGCTCGGACTTCGGCATCGATCGTTCGAGATTCGAGCCGGGAACGAAGCACGAGAAGAGACGACTTCGGATTAAACCGTCCCGGAATCGGGCAAATGAGACGAAGATCATCGACCGATCCCCGGCTCTGGATGCTGCACAAGTAAGTACATCCTTAATTCTGATCGAACGTAATCTTCGGCGGGTAGCTAACGGGGAAGTAGCTGCTGCCCACCCTCTCTCCTCTTCAGCCCCTCCGGGTAGCTAACGGAGAAAAGTTTCGGGACTCGTTCCGTCGAAGGAACACGAACCGGTCTCGAGCGAGGATCCGAAGGATCCGATCCACCGGACATCGACAACGAAACTCCACTGTTTGCCAATTTCGACGGCGTGCGATCCTCGGAAAAGTTTTCGTACGTTAGACGCATGAACGAACTCCGGAACCGAATTATCCCGAACTCCGGCGGCGTTGGATGGAAATCGTTCCGTGATTTCGAAATTTAAGAGGCGGAATCCGCGGCGAAGAACCACCGATTGGCTCGGGACGCGGGATGTAATTGTCGGCGGGAGAAGTTAGGCTTGTCGCGAGATTATTTCGGTGAGCTAAGATCGAATAAGTCGGAACTTATTAGTTTCTAAGTGAACGAAATAGCAGAGAATTTTTTACGCGAGCGTGAGTTAGAAGAGAGAACGGATGAAAATGAATTGTTTTTGTATCTTCAGAATTTTATGTTTCAGTCATTTAGTGGTCCACAAAAATGTTCGTACACCTTCTCAAATATGATAATTATTTTAATTGACTTGATAAAATGACTGCTAAATGACTGATAAAATGGCCGATAAAAGACTCGAATAAAAAACTTAAAAAACGAGTTCTTCATTTCTTTTTGTCATCCCAAGTAATAGCAAAATTAAACAAAAATACATTTTAGTCATTGTCTACTCCCTCTATCATATAAAAAGATATTCAAGTCACTCGGTGCAGTTTCATAAAAGTTACTGCGTTTTAAAAGGTGTACGAACACTTTCGTGGGCGACTGTGAACGCATAAAATCCGCAGTTGAGTCCACTAGATTCAGAATGAAACTAGCACATCCCCCGCTGTCTAAAATTATACCCAGAATTCCCGAGCTCTTCTTCTTTTCTACCATTGCACCGAACCGATATTTATTTCCACTCGCCTGTCTTCCATTGTTCCTGCAACCCCTTCAATTATGACAGTGATTTAAGAGGGTGTGTTACTTGACCGTAAAGTTGGAACAGGTAAAACCATCTATCCCGACGCGATGGACGACCATATATCTTCGATGAGGAACGCCGGCTTCCTCCACTTTGCCGGTGACATCCGCCGCAGCCGATACTTCAATACTTTTCGTAGTATACGCGCATCGACGCGCGGACAAAGGAGCTCGGGGATGCAACAACTGTCGACCGATGTCGATAAGTTCATCGTGCACGAGAGGAAAGCGAAGCATTTTTATATTAAAACGACTGTTAATCGGTACCGTACGTGTTGTCCGTGTCGCGACCACTTCAAAATTATTGACTTTTCGAAACTGTTAACCCTTTGTCCTGCAAACACGTCTCGGAGAGACGTGGTCAGATCATCGATTCAGAAACGATTGTCACGTCTGAGAGACGTGGTCAAAAGATCGGGCCAGAAATGAGAGCCCTGGTGCGTCACTCGGGGCAAATATAAACATAACTAGTTAGGCTCGTGTTAGACTAGCTGATACGTGTTTTGTGGTTTTTTGTTCTTCGTCGTTCAATTGTTTTATTAGTAGCTAATGGAGGTGTGTTTAGCTGAACGCGTGCTGCGAGTTTTAATTGTTTACAGCTCGTACGAAGGTCGACCGATTTCGGTGAAATGTTTAACATGCATATAACATACCGAGATCTATAAAACAAATTTTTTAAATATTCGTCGTAGCCTCGGATAACCGACCTTGTCGTTGTTTGTGGTATATTGAATTTTAAATCGTAGGACAACGGGGTTAATCGAACACGATTTCATCTTCTAATGTCTGAGAGCTTCGAAAGAAAAAGAAAAAGAAATCCGAAAGGAGAGCACGCATGTGCACGCACACACGCGGTATCGGAAATATTGATCGGATCATTTGAATATTAATCGCATTATATCACATGTACCTCTCGCGTGGCGTCGGCATTCTAGAATTAATTAAAACCGATATTTCTCTCTCTCTCTCTCTCTCTCTTTCTCTCTCTCTATTAAAACCGTACAGCTTACCGTCTCCGCCGAAATAAGTGCAATCCTTTGCTTCGACAATTCGCTATCGGACGGTGTAACAGTCGTTGGAAAATCTTGCCAAAGGCAATGTCGACCGTCTTAAGTTTCTGTTAAATAATTCTGTGAATATTTAAAGCGACAATTACTTATCGGGATCGTAACGCGGAGCACGCGATCGAGGAGAAATGAAATTAACAAATCGACGTCTTCCGTTCGATTGTTACAGAGCTGTTTCGATCGAAAAAGATAGCGAGCAAACAGACCGGCGTGTTTACAGAGCTTCTCGTGTTTGTTTTGGATTTACAGCCGGTCGTAACGCGCTATGGAATTTGGATATTTCGTTGACGCATTTGTAACGGCCGGATTAGTGCATGACAAATCGGAGCATGCCCGAGGAGACTAATCCGAGGAAGGTGGAGTCGTTCTGCCGGGGATTGCACGCGCTTACGTCCCCGTCCTGTTAATCATTTCGTTTCTAAGCCTTCCGGATCTTTTTCTGATACCGAAATCGAGAGAAGATGAGGATTGTTTCCAAATCGTAGCAAACCACGAATATTACCGAAGGAAGAAAATGTTCGATGAAATAATTACTAACTTCTAGATTCACGTTAGAAGATGCGCTAGATTCTCCCTAATTTTCCTTCATTTTGTGAACAAAAATCGTCGTTTCGGGAAGAGGAGATACGATTATCCGAGCCTTGCGCCTTGTTTTTATAATCAATGACAATTGGCAACTATAAAAATGAGTAACAATCGTATCTCCTCTTTCCAAATCGTCCATTTTTGTCCGCAAGCTGAAGGAAAAATTGGGGAGAATTTACAGCAGTTATTTATTCCACGTATTTAACCGCTCGCGTCTAGAAACGTGTGCGCGCTGCTTGAAAAAATTCATTTATCTCCACGGAGCTGTAAAAACTACTGCAAAAAACAACTACAACGCAGAACAGGCTTGCCGACCGTTCCACATTCAACGGAGGCTGTTGTACAATCATTCTTATTCCTCTTGCAACCCACTCTAAACCTTCGCCGTTCCATGTCGAGAACTGTCGCATTATTAAGAAATCATAGCTTCTCTAATAATATCGATGATGCGCGTGTAAAAAAGAAAAATCCACGGTCCTTTTATTTGTCGTCTTACGAGCTTCAGTAAACAGCGACATCGTTACAGCGAATGTTACGTGTAACGAGACGTAGCACGATTCGTAGCATGATTCAGACGCGACAAGTTTTTCGAAGGTAATGCCGATCATTTTTAAAACTTACGTGGTTATCGACGTTAAATCTATCGAGGTCTAAAAGCAACTAACGACGAGCGTTGCCTCGTAAGAATTACAAGACAGAGATTACTTAAATTGTACGCAATTTTTATGATGCCTGAATAAAAACTCATACTTTTTATTTGTTCGTTTCACTCTGGCCTGGCCTCAAAGTGTTCCAAACATCTTCCAAACACCTTGAAATTTGAGAATACGTTTTTGCTTTCACTAAAATTACAATTCGAATAGCTAAAAACGAGTATACTCGTCGTGACGCAAAATACAGTAACGTCTCCCTAACCGACGCTTAGATTGTACAGAAAAATGGACAATTTGGGAAGAAGAGATACGATGATTCGATCCTTGAGGTTCATTTCTATAGTTAATTGTCATTTTATAATTGCCAACAATTCTAAAACTGTGCTGCAAGGCTCGAATAATCGTATCTCCTCTTCCCAAATTCTCCATTTTGGTGCGCAATCGGAGCATCAGTTAGAGAGACATTACCGTACTGCCGCTTCTCCACGACGAGTATGCTCGTCGAACCACGGTTAACCGGTTAATAAGAGCACATGGGTCACGCGATTCTCCGGGTTGTTCCGGCAACCTCCTGTCGCACAGAAGGCGAAGTAAAATCAAGTTTGTAGGTCAATCGATCCCCCGGAAGAGGAACGAGATACCGGCGGATGCACTTGGCCCATTTCGCGAGTGTATTTGTTTCGCGAGGTCCGGCCAGGCCTGGCTCTCTCTCTCCCCGAATTGCGTTCTAAATAATGCATCCATTCGCGGGGACGTTTGACCGCGCTGAAATATGCCGGGCATGAAAGTGATTCAAGAAGCCGGGCGGTCCCCTCAATCGGTAATTCTAGGACGGCGTGGCACAGCGCACGAAGAGAAAAAAGCTCCGCGAGGAGACGAAGAGAAAAACGAAAAAAACCTGAATGCCTCGCTAGCCGTGACATCAATTTTTATTACACCGGCTGTTCACCGCGATGCGACCCAGTGGACTTTCAAGGGGCGCTTTATTTCACATTCTATTCTTGCTTGCGGTGCAGAAACTCCTATATCGTTGTAACAAATGTTCGCGTATTTTTGTTACCACGTTCGCGACGATTGTCATTTCACTACGAACAGTTACAACAGTTTACCAGGTAACTAATTTATAATTTATAAACTCGACGGTTTTACAAATATTTTATTTCCCTACCGACAATACCGTTCGATGGCATCGTGTACCCGCACAATTTTAATAACATTTCCAATTTGTGCTATCAAGCCAATAAAATAACGTCTAATTGTATTTTCATATTCTCCCGGTCGTTAAAACCTAATAGCTATCCTGTTTCGTGTTTCGCTCGCTTCTTTACCATAAAGTCGTAAAATCGGCAGACCTATCCCCGAGAAATAATGAAACAATTAAAAACCAAAATTTCATCACCATGTTCCTTTC